ATGCAGTTGCATTGAGTAATTTTAAAAATAGTCACTCAAATTTCAATTTCAAATGGATAACTTGCATAAAAGATATTTTTATAGAATGTGGAATGGCTAATATTTGGATGAGTCATGAATTTCCTAACGTAAATTGGCTGGTTAAATCAGTTAAACAAAAATTATCAGATATATTCATAAATCAGTGGTACTCAGGTCTAGAAAACACATCTAATTGCAAAAATTATTGTATTTTTAAAAGAGAATTTGAAATTGAGAAACATCTTAGTGAAACACCTTCCAAATATTTAAAATATATGATCAAATTCAGAACCAGAAATCATAAACTACCGGTCGAAACTGGAAACTGGCATAGAATACCTTTAGAACAGAGAAAATGCACTCTCTGCAATCATAACATAGGCGACGAATTTCATTTTCTATTAGAATGCCCAAATCTTAACACGGATCGAAAAAAATAAATCTCTGAAATCTATTATAGAAATCCAAATATAATAAAGTTTGATAAATTAATGAACACTGACCCCTCAAATTATGTGATATATAAAAAAACTTTGCATGTTTATAAAAATAATCTTAGAAAAATATTGAACTGAATTATTATATTAAACTTTGATAATATTTTTGAAATAATTCATTTTATTTTGTATGAATGTAAAACTTTCTCCTGTCTATGTTAAAAGAATATTGTAAGATGTGTGAGTTACATACTATTAACCTCGTTAACATTTGTAATTTGTTATTTACCTCATATTTACATATATTGTGTATCGATGCGCCGTACGTTATCATTGATATTTTATACGCCATACGTTATCATTTCCGGAAAATGCCCCGATATTAATATTTACACCAGTAAATCTAGCCAAAATGGGCATGAATGATTACTTGACAACATATTACAACTTTTTAATGTCAGTGATTTCAGTTAATATACATATATGTAAACAAAACAGTGAATTTTAGAGAAGAAGCCGTACGTTACCACGATCAAACCGGTGGAAAATTCTCTCGCTTCGAATCTGGTGACGCGCATTTCAGAAGAAGTACGGGACAAAAATTCATGAAATAAATTTCTGTGTGCCAGGAAAATTGTGGAGAAGGTTGTTATATGTACCTTTACACAAGAACATCACGAATTTCAGAGAAAAAAGGGAAAAACCTACTTTTTGGCTGCATCCGCCATCTTGTTTGTTTGGGTAAAGAACGGCGTGATTCCCACCTCCCCTTGAATGAAATGGGAATAATTTTCTGAAAAGTGATTTTATTCGAGAATTGCTTCGGGAGAAGACAACTTTCTGTCCGTAGAGCATGAATATTAATACTCATCTTACTGATCTCAATTATGGTACATGTAAATATGTATAATTTTTATGTTCAATAAAAATGTTGCATAACTTGCAGTTGTTATTATCATTCAATGATATTAAAATGACATAAAATATTTATGATGAACAGTCCTAGAATATTTTGATAAGGAACCGTCAGTTGTAAAATGGTATTGTGATCTTATATTGAACAGTCGTCATACTTGCTGGTATGTCATTTATAAATGGCAGTTTAGGTTTTTCAAAATTTGCATGATTAACAGTCCGAATGTAGACCTCAATGAAATGTTCTGGAATATTTACAACCATATTAACCGTATATATGAATGGTTGAACACAACAGTAATAAAGGATAAATGGCGCAATGTGCATATCTTCTTATTTTGGTAATAATTGAAATAACAGCACATTTAAAGCAAAAGTGTGAAACATTCTGTCATAGCCTCCCCATCAGTACATTCAGTGCTTTGATTTACTTTGTTGTCCAAAGTACAACGAACTACACATAAAATACAATATTAGATCAACTTGGCCTAGTACAAATAAATTTGTCTCAGTTATGTCTAGCCAAAATACCAATACATTGAGAAGATTGTCAAAATTTTTGTATGACAGTTTTAGACTAAGAGAAGAAAGTTTAAATATTTTAGCTGCTTCATAGTAAAATCTTTGTATTTCAAAAGAATATAGATATAATACCACTATTATCATAATCAAGAATTTTTGTTCAGTACGCACGTAACTCATTAACTTGTGATTTTTTATTTTGTATTGTATGAATTGCAAAATTGTAAAGATATTGTCTTGATCTTTATTTGTATGTATGTTTGTATATATATGGCCAAAGGTTTTTGTACTGATTTACCAATAAACTTTGAAACTTTATTCATATATACCGGTATTACAGGTTTTCGTTTTTTGTATTTTCATGTCTTTCATATGTTGTAGTTGAGACTGGAATATCAGAACCGTCAGTGTACCTGCCCGGCTGATGCCTACACCAAACCCAAACATTCTGATATTAACTGCACACACATGCCAGATATCGGTCTTACTTATTCTAGCATATTTTAATTGTTTCACCTCAATTATATTTTCATGTATATAACATGTAGTGTCGAAAATCTGATACTTTTTTCTTTATGTAGCTTTTTTGATTTACATGTTCATTCGCAACGGAAAAAATGACAGTTTTATTCTTAAATGCGCTTGTATGAAGTCAATTTGGAGCAAGCACCCCAGTGCAGAGTTTAACTATATTTCGAGTATGGAATAAACTGAAAGAGATGACAGCCTGGCAAGTAAGAATAATTCTAAGCGAAAATACTTTAGATATAAAATATCACCATGTATCCTACAGCTTATAAGCACTTTATTCTTGTATATCACCAGTGTGGATTGTCATTTGGTTCTTTGGTGTGTCGATCTTTTCGAGAAAATAGTTTCTCGCACAATTCACATCACAAGTATAATTCTTTTCACCAGTGTGTATTCTTATATGTATTTTAAGATTAGCAAATGACTTGTTACATATTTTAAGTGTATACCTTTGCTCACCCCTATACGTTGTTTTGTGAACGTCAAGTCACATATTTTACATGACTATTTCCTTTCACCGGCGTGTATTCTCCTATGCCTTTTTTATTACACCTTTGCGGTTCGTTCGTGGCCGAGTGGTTAATGTCGTTGACTTCAAACCACTTGCCCCTCACCGCTATGGGTTCGAATCCCGACAGGGAATTTGGATTCTTTCATGCGAGGAAGCTATCCAGCTAGCTTACGGAACGTCGGTGGTTCTACTCGGGTGCCCATTCGTGCCTGAAATAATGCATGGAAGGGCACCTGAGGTCTTCCTCCACCAGTAAAGCTAGAACGTCGCAATATGACCTATACTGTGTCGATGTGACGTAAAATCCGAAACAAACTAACAAAATCATTACTTCTTTGCAAGAAACTGATTTATACTAAACTACGCATGTTTGCTCCGTTTCGCCGGTATGAACAGTTATTTGTCGTTAAATCTATATTTAAGAGCAAATGACGTATTACATATGTCACATGTTTGCTCCTTCGCCCTGTATGTTTTGTCATGTGCGCTTAAAGATCATATATACTTTCATGCAGAAATGATTCCCCACGTATTTTACATTCGTTATTCTTCTCACCAAGTAATTTGTCATATGTGTTTTTAGCGCATCTTTACAAGAAACTGTTTTTTTTGCTTCATTTCGTCGGTACGAGCAGTCATGTGTCGTTAACTGTAAGGCAAATGACATATTACATATGTCTCATGTATGCAATTGATAATTGAATTCATAAAGTTTGATTATAGAGAATATGATAATGATATATAATAAGAGTTTTTCTTTACTCTAATTGTTGTTATATTAAATAAATGTTCGTTTGCTTTTTATTTTGATCACGTTACCCCTCTAAAGTAAAGTATATTTGTATAAGAAGTGAAGTGAGACCAAATTTGGCTTTGTTCAACTATAACACCAACGTAAAGAAATAAACGATTTTTCAGTTTGAATTAGTCTTAATTATGCAAATTTAAGAAGAATATCCTGAAAAATAATTCACTATAATTATGGTCCCTCGTTTAGTTCTATTAATTTTATTTGAATAAGCGCGACTCAGGGGGAATGTTAAAGCAGCTTAATACAATGACGGCCTCGGTTGTTTTATTACCAAAACATAATTGTCATACACGTGAAAAGCATTGCTCAAGCAATAGTTTCTTTATACAAAATACATTTAACAAAAGTTTACACCGAGAATAACGCCACTGCACCTTTTTTCGTGCATTAACATCTGAAAAAGCTCTCGCGCTTAAAATGTGGTCTGGTGCTTCTTCAGATAAAGTGCTTCTGCAGATAAAATGCACTTGGAAAAGATGCATTAACTCTCTACACTACAGTAAAAAACAAAATCTCTGTAAATTATCAAAATTTATTTACATAATTTGTCTCAACAACGTGTTAGTTAATGACTATGTTTATCAAATATGTCTCCGTCTAAAGAAAATTTCTTCTTGCAAAAACTATTTACCGCATGAGTTACATCAATACGGGTTTTTTGTTTTCGTTTTTGAGCTAAAGTTGCGGTCTTATAATAAATCTATCAAATTTACACGGTTTTAACACTAATGTGTACTCTCATATGTACTTGAACATAACTTTTATCAGCAAAGGATTTATCACAAATTTCACAGTGATACTCCTTTTCACCAGTATGTATTTTCATATGTCTTGTGAGATTGCTTCTAAAAGAAAATAATTTACTGCATACTTCACAAGAATATTTCTTTTCACCAGTGTGTATTGTCATATGCCCATCAAGAGTACCTTTACGAGAAAATGACTTATTACATATTCCGCATGCATGATGTTTCTCACCAGTGTGTATTGTCATATGTTTTCTTAAGGAACCTCTCCATGAAAATGATTTATCACACATTTCACATGCATATTTTTTCTCACCAGTGTGTATACCTGTCATATGTTTTTGAAGAGTACTTTTTAGTCCAAATGACTTATTACATATTTTACATGTTTGCGTTTTCTCACCAGAGTGCATTATCATATGTTTTGTGAGGTTTTGCTTCAGCGGAAAAGATTTTTCACATATGTTGCACTTATAGTCTTTTTCACCAGTATGTATTGACATATGATATTTCAGATGATGACTACGAGAAAATGATTTCTCGCATATTTCGCATTTAAATCTCTTCTCTTGGAGATGAACTGATGTAATATGTTTATATAGATTAGATTTATAACTAAATAACTTATTACAAAGGTCACATCTATAATCCATGTTTCCGGGACAGTTTGTCATGTCAGAAGAAGCAGGTAAAGATCTATCACAATGTACCTTGAATCCTGTAAAGTAAAATAACATTTCTTAATTTTACCAAAGTTATAATCTTTAACTTCAGACAGCTGTCTTAGAAAACCACCATATGATGTTCCTTTTGATTTCTAAAATACGTAGGGCGTTTAAAATTAATATAACATACTGTAATGTAAATAAAAAATCATTTTCAATGTCATTTAAAAAGTAGCATACATATATTAATATGGCATGAAAGTGTTGTCTAAGTTAGGTTCTGGTTATATTTAAATGGTGGTCCAAAACATAAACAAGAGGGCCATGATGGCCCTAGATCGCTCACCTGACTTATCAAACTCATCCAAACAATTACATAGACAAGCATTCTGACCAAGTCTCATGACAGGTGAGTCAAAAATGTGACCACTACAGTGTTAACAAGGATTATCCATATTTGAGCAGTGCGACCTAGTTTTTGACCCAGGTGACACATATTCAAACTTGACATAGAAATCATCAAAACAAACTTTCAGACCAATTTCCAGGATACTTGGATCAAAACAGTAGCAACTAGAGTGTAAACAAGATTTTTCTATTTTTAGCTCCGGTGACCTAGTTTCACATGCGATTTTGAACTCATCCGAACAATTATCTAGACAAGCATCCTGACCAAGTTTGATGATAACTGAGTCGAAAATGTGACCACTAGAATGTTAACAAGGTTTTTCCATATTTGGGCGGTGTGACCTAGTTTTTCATCCAAGATGACCCATGTTACTTGACTTAGAAATCATCAAAACAAACTTTCAGACCAATTTACAGAATATTTGGATCACAACAGTAGCCACTAGAGTGTTAACAAGATTTTTCTATTTTTAGCTCCTGTGACCTAGTTTTTCATCCGAGATGACCCATGTTCGATTTAATCCCAGCAATGACCTAGACAAGTTTCCTGACCAAGTTTGATGACAATTGGGTCTAAATTGTGACCACTAGAGTGTTAACAAGGTTTTTCTATTTTAAGCTCCTGTGACCTAGTTTTTCATCCGAGATGACCCATGTTCGAACTCATCCGACCAAGTACCTAGACAAGCATCCTGATCAAGTTTGATGACACTTGTGTCAAAAATGTGACCGCTAGTGTTAACAAGGTTTTTCTATTTTTAGCTTCTGTGACCTAGTTTTTCATCCAGGATTACCCATGTTCAAACTCATTTGAGCTATCACCTAGACAAGCATCTTGACCAAGTTTGATGATGATTGATGCAAAAATGTGACCGCTAGAGTGTTAACATGGTTTTTCTATTTTTAGCTCGGTGACCTACTTTTTCATCCGAGATGACCCATGTTCGAACTCATCCAAGCTATCACCTAGACAAGCATCCTGACCAAGTTTGATGATGATTGATGCAAAAATGTGACCGCTAGAGTGTTTATAAGGTTTTTCTATTTTTAGCTCCTGTGACCTAGTTTTTCATCAAGGATGACCCATGTTCGAACTCATCCAAGCTATCACCTAGACAAGCATCTTGACCAGGTTTGATGATGATTGATGCAAAAATGTGACCGCTAGAGTGTTAACATGGTTTTTCTATTTTTAGCTCGGTGACCTACTTTTTCATCCGAGATGACCCATGTTCGAACTCATCTGAGCTTTCACCTAGACAAGCATCCTGACCAAGTTTGATGATGATAGAGGCAAAAATGTGACCGCTAGAGTGTTAACAAGGTTTTTTTATTTTTAGCTCCGGTGACCTACTTTTTCATCCAAGATGATCCATGTTCAAACTCATCAAAGCTATTACCTGGACAAGCATCCTGACCAAGTTTGATGACCTATGTTCGAACTCATCTGAGCTATCAACTAGATAAGCATCCTGACCAACTTTGATGATGATTGAGGCAAAAATGTGACCTCTAGAGTGTTAACAAGGTTTTTCTATTTTTAGCTTTTGTGACCTAGTTTCTCATCCGAGATGACCTATGTTCGAGCTCATCCGAGCTATCAACTAGATAAGTATCCTGACCAAGTTTGATGATGATTGAGACAAAAATGCGACCGCTAGAGCGTTAACAACTAAATGTGAACAGACGACGGACGACGGACAATCATCGATCCTAAAAGCTCGACCTGAGCATGCTCAGGTGAGCTTAAAAGCAACACCATGTAGCAGTTCTTATTAATATTAATTATTTAATTTATAAAAACACCTGATACGAGTACATCACATATATTTTACACAAAAGTCCATTCCACTTGGTAAACTACTCTTCTCCAATCTCCAAACACAAGTTACAAGGTGAGTTGAATTACAAGGTGACCTGTAAAATACATAACAAATCCTTACTTCAAGTAATACATATATAACTTGCAATGTAATACATTACAATCTCTGAAAGAAATCATTCATCTTCTCACATAAGTCATACATAAACATTAATGGATCCCTTTAATATAAAGTAAGTGGAATCTAGTGGCTTACACACTTATTAACTAAACCTTAACATAGAAGGTTGAATATTACAATTTTCATATAAAGTTATCATCTGTTAAATAACAATAATTTAACTCACCAGTGTATGGCACTGTCCACAATTATAACCAACACCTGTACAACTCTCTTAATCGCCTCTTCACACTGTGACTATCAATCAGTAAAACTGTAAATTTAGAGGTTATATAAAAATATGTGATAAGATATTGAAGATATCAAGTGATATTTAGATTTGTTAAAGAAAGTAGTCCCGTACCGCCATTTTGATAGTCATATTCGGTATCTTCTGTCCTTCACGCGTCAAGGATATGACTTTTATAGAAAACGCAATCAATAATTATAACTTACAACTTTTTTATTTATGGACCAAATTTAACGATTATTCGCATTTTATTTCATTTCATTGTAATTAAATATCACATCCAGACAGAAAAAACACTTACTTTATAAAATATAGATCTAAGTCATATTCGGTATCTTCTGTTCTTCACGAATATGATTTTTATATAAAAACCTCGGATATGTATGTCCCAGATAAAAACCCAACAAATATAACTTAAACTTTTTTATTTATGTACCAAATTTAACGATATATTGCATATAAAATCATTTTGTTATTATAAAACACCGTATCAAGAAAAGTTAATAAAAAATCAATTTACAAAAATAAAAGTCATATTCGGTATCTTCCGTCCTTCACGGAGCAAACAGGACGTTTCGGCCCCAAACCAAATCGGCCCCAGTCGAAAAATCGGCCCCTGGACGTTTCGGCCCTTTTCTGCGAGACGTTTCGGCCCCACTATAGTGTATTGCTTGATTGATTAACAACAATTAATTTAATTACAATTAAACAATTATGACACTTTAATTCTTTGAATAATTATTTATTATCTTTTGATCTCTTGAACCATTTAGATATACGTTAATGTTTTTAAAGGTGTAACAAACAATAAAGGCCGGTTACTTACTTATAAAACAAACCACTTAAACTTCTTGATTAAGAAAGTCTGGTCCCCTCACTCTGAGGGTCTTATCAACCAACTAGAAATGGTCCAACGTCGCGCTGCAAGATTCGTGAAACAAGACTACACACGAACAAGCAGCGTCACCGACATGCTTACCGACCCCAAATGGGACACCCTCCAACACCGGCGCAACAACACCAGAACAACTATGTTCTTCAAGATAATGCACAACCTTGTAGATATTATACCAGATCCTCCACTTATCAATGCTAAGACTGTCAGAGGGCACAACCAACGCTTCCGCCAAATCAGAGCACGCACCTCCATCTTCCAAAATAGTTTCTTTCCCGCAACCATCGTGCTTTGGAACAAGCTGCCGCAAGACGTTGTTGACCAGACCAGCCTGGATGCTTTCCAATCAGCTTTGGTCAGCCAACATATAAAATAATAATCACGGAGTTGTTTTTACTCTTTTAATAGAAACTGTAAATAGGGAAACTTTTTATTTTTATTTTGGAAAAAGTCAGTCCTGCCTGCTGCGTATGTATATACAGTTTTTATCCGATTGCGAGTATACTCCTTGCGGAGTGATGCAATTACTTAAGATGATGATGATGATGATGATGATGAAAGTTACTTACAATTTTTCCTTAGAAAACATTATCTTTTGTTCTTAATCAAACTATACGTATTTTTTTTCAAAGTGTAACTAATTAACTGTTTATACATTATGCTAATTGGCAGTATTGTTTTGTGTCTTGCTTCTTTATCATTCAAATAAAATATTATCTATATATGGTTTATAATTTTTTTTGTGTATTATATTTTTTCAAATAAAGTTTATGTTCTGTTCTGTTTTTGTTATTGATTACTTTCCCCTCACCATACTACTGGATAAATATCTGGCATAATTTAGTTTTTATACTATTGATGTGCGCATGTGCAGCAGATGCTCATTTTGAGGCCCGCACAGGGGTACTTTTCTATATTGACCGACTACCGGTAAAGCAGACGACGTTTAAAAAATAGATAAATACTTTTATTTCCTCCAATATTGAAGAGCATAACATATTTCTACAGAGGTGAACATAGATATATACATAAACAAGTATAATACATATTAACAGAATAGTATATCCAATTTAGCATCGTTCATATAGTAAGAAGAGATGCATTAGAAATATTTTACATTAACTACATAAATTATATCAGATATAGAAAACAAAATATAACAAAATAAATGTTAACTTACAATTTGTCTCATGAGGTGTTATTTTTGTCTTAAATGTTAACTAGTATACTATCAAATGTACAAACAGTTATCAAGGTATCATATATTGTTCAGGAGGTAAGTATGAAATATACAGACAAACATTAACTAGTATACTAACCAAGGTATCCTATATATCTCAAGAGGTAAGTATAAAAAATGTACAGACAAAAATTAACTAGTATACTTATCAAGGTATCAATATATATCTCAAGAGGTAAGTATCAAATGAACACACAAATATTAGAGAAAAAAGAAAGTCACTAGTATCAGATATACAGGTTGCGTTGTGTGGATTGCAATATAGTTTGAATGTAATAGTTGAATTTTTTATAATAGTTAACATGTATATATTTAATCAAATATTTAAAGAAGGTATATATCCGTGTGCTTGTGATAAACATCATTATGTCACATAGATTACAGTAATTTAAATTAGAAATAAAAAAAAACACTGCTTACAGCATTAATTTTTATCCTTATAACATTATGTTGGCATATCTGTCACATTTGACAAAAGTCTATGCGGACGAAAACGAAAACGTATAGACTGATGAGATGACAATTACATGATATCATGTTATATATAAATATAGTTATACTATTTAGAGTTGGTTCCTATTTTGTTAGTTTTACAAGTCCTGTATTAGGTATTTATTACACGAGTAAATTCCGCGGCTTTTTGTTCATTATAGAGACCTGGAACTCTATAAGATTTCACAGTCACCCTCCATGTACCAATTTTTTCTAGTTTGTGCGGATCTTTAAGAGATTACGAATAGACTTCGCAACTCTATAATTGCGCAACGCTAGACTGTCATTATCAGATGCTAGCCGGAAACACTGCCAGCATTGTTCCTCAGGTGATAACGCAAGAAGGTCTATAAATGTTGTCATTCCGCATTCCTCAATGACTGAGTCCCACAATCTGATCATATTGTTGTTGTTTACCGTACAGAAGCACATCAAGTGTACGATTTGATTTTCGCAAAGCCTGTTGCATTTTCTACATGTTACAACATATGAATGGGACATAAAACTACCTATACTTTCCATTAAAAAAGAAACATATACGCCGTATTTTTTCTTTTATTTAGGGTTGTTTCTTGATACATACCACAGCGTCGCTGGCAATGAATACTGGATTATTCCACATAACTCACGTCTTGACAGTATTAATCGGTTAAACACGCGTGTAGGTTGCAGTATTTGTAATGGCTGAGCGTAAAGTAACTTTCCATGCATATTTCGAAGGGAATACGCCACTTTCTAAATATGAGTAAAGGACACTTTCAAGATTATATTTCTGCAATAGTCTGTATACATCGGGTATAAATCCACGACTCTGATTGTCAAAGTTCAAATACTTTATCAGTCGCGTAATGAACACTTGTTTTTGCCAAATATTGGCAAGGCAGACGACATAATTGGCCTAAGAAATTTAGCTTTCTGTAGTTTATAATTTCTTCAATACTGTCAATATTTATTGAACTTAATGCAAAGTCAGTGGATGTATGGCGTTTAAATGTTTGCATAAACTTTAACACAAAAAGCGGTGAGACAATTCAAGTGTCCGAATGTCTGATGCTGAGTATACATTCCATAACTCCACAACCGTAGAGGGCCTTTGGGGAGTACGACTGAGCGGTAGATAGTTCTGGATGTTTATTGGGTTTATATGAGCTGGGTGAATGCCCACTATTAACGATACTAAGCAATGTCCCACGTAGTTTGTTAGCAGCATCATAAAACAATTTTCTTTGTGACATATACTTATCACATTCGATGCCCAAGTGAGTGTAATATTCAACCTCATTAATACGCTCACGCCCAATAAAAAAATGTTCTATCCTCACTCCCCTCATCCTCATTGAAGACTATGATCCCACACTTCCCCGCATTGTATCTGTATCTCCCACTGACGAGAGTATTCATTACATATATCTAACATCTTGTCCATACCTCCTTTGGAAAACGATACTAAATACATATCATCTGCAACGGTTGGTGAGCTAAGGTTTAATATTATACATAACAAAGCCATAATCACTTGCTTCCAATTGTTTTATTAATCCGTTGATATAGACGAGGTAGCAGAGTGGGAGAAGTTTTGCCCCCTGACGGGTACCTTGAAGAACAGGGAAGCTGTGAGATATTAATCCTTTATGTCTAACACAACTAGTAGCGTCTCTATACATTTCCCGGATTGAGATAAGCGATGTTTTGTCAATGTTACATTCTATAAGCTTATAAAATAATCCTTGGTGCCATATACAGTATCAAACGCTTTTTCCCCATCCAAGAAACATACGTATAGTTTCGAAAAGTGTTCCCGGCAAAAAAATACACTCTCTCGAAGCACGAACGAGGTCATCAGACAAACCCCCCAGTTGTTCCTGGAAGCCGCCCTGTTGCATATTTAACGTACTGAGAATTACGTCCTTACATCTGGATAACAAGATGAGTTCATATACTTTAAGTATCACCGACGAAAGAGTGATAGCCCGATAATTATTCGGGTTATCTTTGCGTTTATTACCGCCCTTATGTAACGTTATTATAACGCCACGCTTAAGCTTATCGGAATATATCCTAAGCGGAGCATAAATGTGAAAAGGTTGGCCAAAACTCTGAAGCAATGTCTTTAGGCATAAATCAAATGTTCATAAAAGGACCCACAATCTTGCCCCACATGCTTTACCTTTGGTAGGGACATGATAGCAGTGGACAACTCTTTTCGGGTAAAACACGTACATTTTTATCAGGTTCAATATTACTAAAGGTTTCATCCACAACAGTACATACCTCTGTTTGAATCTGTCGTCAAAATCCGGTGGATTCCCTTGGGTGATAAAAATTTTTAAAATAACGTCCCCCAGTGCTCTGTGAGTTTTTCACCCAACGGTACGTATAACCCCCATTATCATCAAATTTAACTCCGGAGCTCACCTTACATTGTGTCTGTCTTTTCTGGAAACTAACAGCTTTCCCAAGGGAATTGGTTCGAATCTAACTTTCGGCTTGTTTCTGTCCAATTCCTTGATCCATTATTTTTAGATGCTCAGCTGTACAAATTTCTCATCATTCGTCTAAATTATACGTTTGGCCGATTTATATTCAACATAACTTATGTGATTGTCACCACGTGGTCTTTCCCTTCAAAGGGGACACCCCATTTATCCCCTCAAAACTGTCATTTTCTTATGGAAGGTTTGCGAGTTCGACATTCAAAACGGTTTCAAATGTTTCTTAAATATTTTTCTTCGGTAAAGATTGTGATGCACTATCCAATACTTTCTTGTGAAAGTAGTATACGCTATACAACTCCTTCACGATCCAGATCAGTCATTTCAATATTTAACAGATCTTTATCGGATGAAAGAAGAGACCGGAACTGTTCTATACTCTCATCTTGAAGGCTTTTTTCCAATTCACATTATATAAATTTGAACTGTTTTTAACATTCAAAATATGTTTCAATATGCACATAAAAAAGAAGCTATAATCCGGCCTGTGTCTAGAAACAATTTAAACAATTATCATCTAAATGATTTCACAAAATGATACTAAATCTAAAACTTCTACTGGTAGACATATATAATCTATCAATGTATGATAAATATTATCGTATGAGACAATATGAGTTTCTGGCACCTAAACAAATCGTAGCGTATTCACAGCACATAGATTAACAATCAGACATAAATCGCAACAATAACATACGACGAAAATTGGTCGCATTGCATTCCACTGTGCATTATAATCGCCAATGAATACAGTCACACCGTGTTGTGAATACATGTTATACAAATCGTACAATTTATCAATGTAAGTTGAAAATTGCAAAGTTTGAATGGTTAGTGCATGGCAAATATATCTGAAAAATAAACATATATTGGTTATTTGAGATCTGCACTTGAAATACCAGCGATCCTATCATCATCAATACATAAAGGTGTTACAATATTGTCAAATCGTTTGTGCCATAAAATTGCAACACCTCCTTTACCAGATCGTAATCTCGGATTAACATCAAACTATTACAAACTGCATGATAATTATAATCCATGCTTATACTATCAATAAAATGTAAATTGTGGGGCATTAACCAGTGCTCTGAAACTCCACAAAAGTCAATATGTCTATGTTTAAGCATACCGGTGAGATATGAGGCACTTGACATTAACCCCCGTTGCATTCCAAGTCATTATGTTAATAGCCATTTTATAATTTGTTTACACATATAAATAGTAGCCATATGAAATGACATTTATTGGATAACAGTTAGTCAATATCACTTAGAATGCGATAACGATTTATGTTACTGTTTTTCCCGACATTGAAACTGTGACGACCGAAACGCCCTAGAAGTGTCGTTTTTCATCTGCGAACTAGAAGCGTCCGCGTTCATGTTCCTGATCTTCGGCGGGCGTCCCTTGACATCCATGGAATACATCGCACGTGTGAAGGCCAGAAACCGTTTTTCATTACAAGATCAGAGTATTTCATCGGCTGCAATATTCAGCCGGACAAGCAATTTATTACGACTTTTACGCATGGGAAATGTACGAATCGTGAAAACCTTGGGTCCACAATCAGGTTCTATATCACGAAAATGAAATCCACCATTGGATATAAAAGCACTTAGTCTATCAATATCCAGTGTATTTTTAAAAGCCAATTAAACAAAATGTTTCGTGTGTCTACGACTTTGAAATTTGAAACCCGTTGGAATGCATATCGTTTCTAACTGTTATACGTGTCGGTATCGGCTTCGGAGCCTCTATCTTATCAACTATGAGTATTGGCTCAGACTCAGATCTTGAGTTGTTTTGTGTACGGTCAGTTCCCGTGCATAAGGTTGTGTGCGCGACTTACTTGTATCGCGTTGTCATTGGGGCATCGGTCTTTCGAAATTAACTACATCCGCGTACGACGGCGGGTCAAAAGTCCGGAGCACTTGACAGCAAATTAGAATTTTCATCTGTACTTAAACATGTAACGATATCATCTCCAAAAACACGGTTTATTATAACTCAACAGATTTGAAAATTGGTGTCATGTGTAGTTTGGTTTCCTGTTTAAAGGGGATATTAAAAGGCATTGATAATCGTGTATGTGGTCTTGAAGATTTTATAGACTCTAATGAGTTACTCTCTGTCTCTAAATTAAACATATGCGAAGAGAACCATAGTTCTAAAACAATAGATCCGGAGCCCTGTGGGCACAGTCATTTTGCGTTGAGACCACTGCAAGTATGACGGGAGTACAAAGCTCGCATCAACTGAATACCACTCACGCTAAATCTGTTGGAGGGCTGGCTACTACTACAGATGTTTCGTCACACGCTATATCTATAAAAAATAGATGAAATTCGGACTCACTTTTGTCTTGCTAACTCAGAAAAAAGGCTGATTACACAATTGTGATCTTTAAGTGGAATGGATTGAAACTCTGATGTTAAATGCTCCTTTTATATGTTAATGTGTAGGTTGAATACCACTAAATTAATTTCTTCTTCACTCTGTTAAGCTAAGCAAATATAAATTTGAATCACTAATACTTTAACTACATATTTCGTTATACGTTAATAAATGATAATGCATGTGTTTTTACGTAAAAATGATTTATATCTTAAATGTACATAGTACGTTGCATATAAATATCGTGTTATCATACATATTCATTATACTAACGTAATGCTCAACAATTTTGGTAACAAATACTTTTTATTTGACATAAATGAACAGCAAAGAAATAATAAAATGTCTAAACATGTTATTTGACGTTTTAACTTACTAATTTTAAGAAGAAAAACAAAGAGCCGGAATTATCTACTCGCGCGCGTTAAAAATATCCTTTTTATGTACCTCTTCCAGGGCCTCTCAAAATTACCCGTCTTGTTTCTAAATATAACTTTTATGGTGATACCGGAAAATCGAAGAGCTGAAGTTTATTATGGTGCAAGATTCATCAGAATACGTAAACAAATAAATGAAATATGCCCCCAAAACACTGATTTTCGGCCGAGTTTATCTCCCAAACCAGTAAATATATATATTAATTGATTAATTTTTTTTGAAATGCTATTAATATATCGGTTTAAAATACAGTACTTATTCTGGGGCCGATTTGGTAAAGGGCCGAAACGTCCGGGGCCGAAACGTCTTTGGTAGTTTGGGGCCGATATGTCTTGGGGCCGAAACGTCTCGAAATCTTCACGGATATGACTTTTATAAAACAAAATTCGAATATAACTTATAACTTTTTTATTTATAGACCAAATTTAACGATATTTTGCATGTAAAATCATTTTATTATTATAAAACATCGTATCAAGAAAAAATAATAAAAAATATTTACTTTGTAAAATAAAAGTCATATCCGGTATAAACTTTAAATACCTTTAAAGTCATATCCGCGGATATGAGTCATATCCGGTATTAAGACATACCGTAAATTCTATGTATGAAAATAAGTTACCAAAAGCTCACGAGTAAATTAACACTCATTACCAAAAATGGATGTAAACAACAGTAGGTCAAAACATACCTATATACAATTAATCCATTTCACAATACACTTAACCTATTCAACATATAAACGAAAATAAAACAGCCAGTAGATGCAACACATCGGTATCAACACATCTACCCTCCAAAAACTTGAACTAAACTCAGCCAAGCGGAAACGATGCAAAAATTGAATCTAAAATCTAATATATTTACCAAACACAGAATAACCCTGATAAAACTCGGACCTGTCACAAAAGTGTTACATCTTAACTGGCATATGAATGTTACAGTTTACAATTTTACTTTTAATTAAAAACCTAAGATATTATAAGAATCTTACACCGGGGCTGGCCGGTCCAGACCGGAATATCTAGCTCGAGGTACTGTTTTGAACGGCGGTAACGGAGGCTCTGCCGAATTTTCCCCGCTGTAAAACAGTCATCCCGAGGAAGGGTAGATATTCCTGTCCTGTACCAACAACCGGGTGTTTGATTTCCTTTTTCTTTTCTTTATAACATATTCAAATTATTTTCAAACATTAATTACAAAAACGGATATTTCTTATAACGCACTTTTGACTTATAAGTAGCGTATGAACTGAAAATTTCATTCATAAACGGGAAATTACAGTACGTCAATGCGCTAAGAACGCAATTCATTCATAAAAAAGGCTCGCGTCAATGACGTCATTGTAAAACACGCGAAACTTGTCTTACATGGGGGTGTAAGATAGAGTTTTTAAAGCACCGGTGTAAACCCGGTAGATAATCCTGTCTGATATGCAAGAAAACGATGTATCAAATAATGAATAAGTACAAATTGCTGTTTATTTAAACACGAGTATCGAATACTTAAATGTCGATGCATTCGACGTCCGGATAATCAAATGTATCTTTTTAACTATTAATATTTATTTATAATTATCAATAAAATATATTTACCTAAGTGTCTGTTGTTTTCTATGCAGATAGATAGATCGAAATTTAATATAAATATTTCCTTTTTATGAACGTTAATGTAAAAATCATTGAGATCAATGTTAACGCGCACGTGCAATACATTACAGCAAAGAAATAATGTTTTTAATTCTGTACATAAATGCCGCTCACATTCAAATATCAAAACTGTCATGCCGCGAAAATATGTTGGTAGATAATATCACATTAATGACTCTTTTCCGTTCAATATTTTTCTAAATTTTATTCATACCCGAAAGTATGACCTTTCAAGTGTGTACAGTTTGATGTAAGTAATAGAAAGAGCACCGAAACACGAGGCTATCTGATTTGTACGAGGGGGCGTAGCCCCCGAGTATAAATCAGATTGTCGAGTGTTTTGGTGTTCTTTCTCTTTTGTATCATAGTCAAACATGAAAGCACGTTCCCTGTTGTCATAATATGAAACCCCAGAAAAAATGAACCAATGAACGAGCATTTGAATATGATATTTCTGCCTCTTTCCCTTTCTCTGCCGTCACAATAAGTAAACCCCAGCAAAAATGAACCAATCAACGGGCGTTATCTGGATAGCGGGTAACTGATACCTGCACTCCAGTTACCGCACTGTGCATGTATATGTATACGATTTAACTCTGACACTTTTTCAACAGAAAGGTCCCCAAACTATGATACAAATTGGCTTTGCTACACTGAGATAATACATAGTCACTGGTTGACCTGGTTTGCACAAAAGAACACATGGTTATGGTTGTGATACTGTTTGGGAGCAGTTGACCTAGCAATGAATGGAAAAGGTGTGGCTAAATGTTCCGCTACGAAAAACCGGAAAGGTCCATAAGTTGGACAGATTAGAAAAGAGGAAATTAGCGAGTAAGTGAAATAATGATGCGATAATTGTTATTGTGTTACATAAGTTGTCAAAAAGATGAACTTAAAATATATCGCAAGAAGATCGTTACGAATATAACAATTCTGTAGTGATATGGCTAAAGCATAGAAAACAAAAATGATATTAATAAGGACATAAAAGTTTAACTAATGACATTGTTTATTCACTATAAAATAAGAAAAAACTTGTGTACATATTTTGTTTTTATAATAACTGATTAGATAAAATGAAAACCTAGTTAACATTTTAAAATGCTGCAAGCTCTGCTCGGTTGTATACTTGAAATCATATAAAAAGTCAACCGCCCGAATGTACTACAAAACTGCGCACGTCACAACACACATGAAGCACGTCACACCACACATGAAGCACGTCACGCCACACATGAAGCACGTCACATCACACATGAATTTAACAAAGGACATCATTTTGGAGTGTGCTGTTTTAAACCGTTATTTACATTTGTCATATTTCTATTTTTAATATAATTTATAACATCTAAGCAAATGTCCATTTGCTTTATTGTCGATTTTATCAAATTAACCACTTTTATTTTTTATCAAATCTTATTTCAAATATGCATATCAAGATTTGCGATCTATAGTAATGTCTGGAAAATTTCGCATTAAATAACTACATCACACAATATTTACTTATTTATTTATTAGTTTATTACAGTCTCATCAATGTACACAGTTAAAATACATATAAAATACAATATAAATGCACATTGCCAATCTATAAGATTTACAAGAGACTAAAGGTTGACTTACTATTTACATATAAAATTCTAAAAATCTAAAATACCCTTGCTAATTTAAACCAGAGTTGTGAAGAACATATGATAAAATGAATCTACTGATGTAATTTAAAATATTGAGGTAGCAAAGTACTTCCAAAAATTCTATATAGAAATTATGTTGTGGTTAAATTTAATCAAAATCAGGTTTAGAAGATTATTAGCAAAGGTATTTTCTAAATAGTACATGTATATCTAAGAACACATAAAAGTTATTTAAAATAATGTCAGTTGTATAAAATTAGTTTTCTTCTATTCAATATGTTAAAACAGGTTTTGGCAGTTAAAAAATACAATGTCTGCATTTGAGAGAATATATCCTACTTTATCAATGTCTGAGAGGGCATCAAAACCATCGTTTAGCATTTGTGCTTCTCGAATCAAGTCGTTACGAATGGAATCATATAGAGGGCAATATAATAATACATGCTTTTCATCCTCTACAATAGTTTGACAGTGGGAGCACAATCGTTGTTCCACTGGCAGACCATTGTAGCGTCCTAACTCTATACCAATTGGAGCTGTGCCACTGCGAAATTTAGCTAAGGCACCCCTGTGTGACCTGTTCAAAATTAACTTACAATAATTTTCAGTTTCAAAGTTATTCTTGAATGTTTTATATAATCTTAATTTGTTTCTACCAGAGCCATTTCGGCCTGATTCTTGATTAACAGTACAGTTCCAATTATGAATGTAATCTTCCAGTACTTTAGGCAATATAATATTAAACAACTCTTGTTTTTGTATCGGATTTTCAACATTGCAAAATCGTTCCATATTATACTTCTTAAACAACGTACAGACTTAAAAACTCCAAATTCTTACATCTGTTACCTGACTTATTACTTGCCTATAAAAATATTTGTTTATTTAACCTCCCTATATTCATATTACTTAATCGACTCCAACTTGCTAAAACAGTTTTCCAACAAAAATATATTAAAGGTTTCCAACCGATATCTCCACAGACTGCTGCATTTGGAGTATATCTTCCAACATTCAAAAAGTAGCGTGCAGCTCTATTCTGCACAGCATTAATACAAGAGAAAGTATCACAGCCCCAAACAGACGATGCATATGTGATAACTGGAACAACAGTAGCTTCGTACATTTTTGTATATGCTTCATAAGGAATACCTCCAAAAACTCTAGTTTTAGCAATTAACATTCCTAATGCTCTATGAGCAGCCTGAGCAACAGTTTTAGCTGTAATAGAATAATCAAGGTGTTCGGTCAAAACAAGACCGAGATATTTGTACTGTGTAACATAGTTTAAAGTTGTATCTCCTATTTTAAATACATAATCTGAACAAGTTAAAGATGGATTTCTAAAGTGAAGAATGTTAGATTTTAGTGGGTTAACATTCAAATGGTTTGTAATACACCAATTATGAAGAACATTTAACATACTTTGAAGATCATTTTCACTTTCTGCTATAAGAACAATATCATCGGCATATAACAGGATTGGTACGTTCTCTAATTTCATTTAAATATGCCCCTATTGAGCATACTACAGTTTGTAAGATTAAAGAAGACTTTAGATTAAATCAGACAATTTAGAATTTATAAATTATCAGGCTATTTGTAACTGCAAATTAACTTATCGTTTCTAAGAAAACGATTTCTATTTTTAAATGTTCTTTAACACCATCTTTTCTCTTAACCAATCACTTATTTGAATCAATGAAATAAAATAAGTCATTTTAAAGGTTTGATACAAAGATTGGCCAGATTCAGCTCTACTAGTCATTTTGCCTTCCGTTTTATCTATAATTTATAATCTTTAAGCACATTACAATATAACTTTCTTTTGAATACAAGAAAGAAAGAATGAATGAAAAAAAGCAAGCAAGAAAGAAAGAAACAAACGAACAGACAAAAAACGATAGAACAAAATAGTACTTTCAAAACTAATTTAATGAAACATTTCAATTAAGTTTACCCAAGTAAAGTGCTTAACACTAATTTATGATTACACGTGCTCCATTTACTGATGGAGACAGACCTCAGTATTATATCGGATATGAACCCGAGTAGAACCACTGACGATCCTTAAGTTAGTTGGATAGCTTCTTAACTTGAACGAGTACAAAGTCCCTTGCGAGATTTGAACCATTAGCGGCAGGGGCAAGTGGTCTGAAGTCAGTTAAACTCACAGCGGGCATCCTTGATAAACATTTCTTCATATTTTCATAGTGTATTTCACAAATGCGCTAGTTATAAAAAAATGTCATTACGTTTCGTTGCAAAAGAACAATTTCTTTTTTTCCCCAGGTAAACTGAATAATGCAATAATTCTATATTAACTATCCTTTGAGTGTTAATTTGATTTATAAACTTATTTACAGGTAATATCGGAATAGAAACTAATACGGGATCGCCTTTTCTGACTTGGATTGATTGGGCATTAATAGTGGAGATATAATATTGACAATACCATTTATGTTACTATTGCAGAGACAATGGTACTATTACAGATATAATGTTACTATTACAGATATAATGTTGCTATTGCAGAGATAATG